ATCACACACAGTAATATATCAAGACTTATGACTTCAGAACCTAAAGTCATAACATAGACACACGCATGGGTCCTCACACCACGCTGACAGCAGCCTGCTACTGTACATATTTGCCCTGTTGATTACACTGTATACCACACATCTAGTAAAGCTTACGCAGCAAAATACCATTACTAAAGTCAAGTAGTAGTATAACAGGGTAACTCCACAGTGAACAGATTCCCATGTTCTTGAGTTTGAATAGTTGTTTGGTCACTATCTTCGTAATAGATAGGTTATATTACTTACATTACAAGCAAAACAAGACTTTAAAACTAACCTGTATCCAAATTCTCCTCTATTGGCACTTCTGAGTTCCTTCCTGGGTTATCATTAGTTACAATGAGTCTTTTTGACCTGAAGGCGTAGATCCAGGGCTCCACATGTTAAGGGGCTAAACTGTCCAGCTCAGCTCACATCAGAGTGAAGCAGCCGGCACAGCGCTCCCTCCGACAGAGCACATTTGGGAAGGATCCTTACTCACCTCCTCCCTCCCTTCAGCCCACTCTCTCGCTCACCGCTACACCATCAGGACTGTCAACAAGCAGGCTCCACCCAGTGGCACATCTCTGTCATATACAGGGTTATGTGGCATCTATATATTTTTACTTATCTAATATGTGTTTGTGTTGTTATAGTACACCTAAACTGGGAACATGAGAAATTTAATAATTAATGTATTTCATAATATATAATTAATTCATGTAAAATGTTTAACATATATATTTTTTGCCTACATACAAGACACTTTCTCTAATTGTCAATTACAAATCAGATTAACAGATAACATCTAACTGCCTTTAAATCTATATATTGTCAAATCTATATGTGTGTTAGTACAGTACAACTGTATTAAATGTAATTGTAATATATGAAATGAATTACTGCTAATCTGGAACAATCAGCTGGAACTCTTTTCCCATATGACCCAGCCTACATTCTGCGTGGTGTAGGCAGAACAAATAAATAAATAAATAAATTATGTTTTCCTGAGTAAAAGTTATGACTAATAATTCGTAGACACATTTGGTCATCACTAGTTCAAGTGGGACATGTCTGTATGACTCAGCACTTAGCAGTACGATCTGCTGTCCACTCAGTATTGACCCATGATGCCGTCACCTCAACTCCCAAACAAAAGGGTCTGTCCTGACTATAACAGGCCTGCATTTTCCCAAGAACAATGTATCAACACATTTGAGACACACCCAGTCTGCGTTTCCCTACACATTCCTAGAGACTGTTGCGTTTGTGCTCGTCATGCTATTACGACAGGGCTGGTCTCTCTAGCAGCTGTGTGGCCTGGGGTCTATGTGAATGTGATGAGTAACTTTTGTTTCACCAGGAAAAAGGGACTAGACTCTAGAGAGCTGATGGATATCAGATAATGTGAATCTGATTTAATTTGATTTCACTGGGAACTGAACCACAGGGGCGTTGGACTGGGGGGGTGAAGGGCACTATTTATCCAGGCATGTCCAAACTATGGCCGTGGGCCAAATGTGGCCCTCAAAACAAATTTTTCTTGGCCCTCAGGCTTCCAGGTGAATTGGCCCAAATTACTTTGCATAAATGAAAAATTAACTTTTTATTGCAAGTTTTTTGAAAATCTACCTTGATACATTTTTTTTGTGTTTGGTTTTGAGGATTTTAGCTTGAATAAAGACAATGGCTCATTCTAACGTGTTAAACATGCACATATTTCAATTATTCACTGTATTGGGCATCAGTCTGTGGCCCTCGATCAGCCCTCTGTTTCATCTGTGTTTACATATGTGGCCCTGGATGAAAAAAGTTTGGACACCCCTGGTCTATGCAAATGACCTACAGACAAAAGTTTCACATGAACCATCTCACACATGAGTTGTGTGCTTTAGTCCAACAGAAGCTGAACTGCATCAGTGCACAAGGAAACAGCTGTTTTTATCAGAGTTTATGCAAATGAGCCATGTGATTTTTAGTTTCCTTTCTGTAAAACGTAAACAAATGTGCGCCTGAAGCCAAAATGCTTCCAAATTGTAGAAGTACTTTAGAATTTTTTTTGAGCATCACGTGAGCAACAGAACGAAACTAATCAAGCGTCATCTCCCCACGCAGTTAAAAGAAAACATTAAAGATACTATTCGTTTTAAATTTCGATAGCATTAAACTGAAAATAAAACCACACATTAATTTGTAATAGATATCAATAAATTATAATATTATATTTGGTCCTTATGCACTGCAGATGGCAGTAATGAAACTGATACAGTTGCTACTTTTTGATACAGCAAGATACCGTAATACCGTATTACCGCCCAATTCTACAACCTACTATTATTATGGTTTGGAATTTCTAATACAAATTCCAACATGTCAAATCACATTTCAAAATCTTCCCGAGCAGATATTTTGGGGGAAGTCACACTCTGCTGTTCAAACAGAAGCTCCCTGTCACCAAACCAAGAGCACAATGTTGACAAAGGTTGCCCTTGGTTCGTTAGCTGTGGCTGTGCTGCTGTGAAGGAATGCTGGGAACAGAGAGCAAGTCTGGATGGGCTAACAGGACAAGACTGCATATGGCATGGCTTTCCTGGGTATACTCTACTTCAGTCTAACCCAAACACAGAACATTAACATCCGGCAGCTGCATGGACCAATCTAAATCCTGTAAACCCACCCAAGGCCAGCCTATTATAATAATTTGATATGAGCATTTATCAACATTGATGTTTTTATAGGTCAATATGGGGACTTACTTTGTGAAGCTTAAAGGCAGGAAGTGCTAATTCTAATCATAAGAGACGCCTTTGTCTTTCAATGCCGGCAGCCTTGATCCTTATCAGGGGCTGCTCTACATTCAGAATCCTCACACTCATAAACCCATACATAGTATCAATCATATAGGACAACTTTTCACACCAAGTAAGTACTAACATTTTTTTTTTCAGAGTATCATAAAATCTAGCAGTACAGCAGTTCTTACAACCTGGTCTAAATAAGGACTAAAACACAAGTAAGTTCTTAACAAGAACGACTAACCAAAGTGAACATTGGCATGAAAATTGTAAAAACTGGCAAGAAAAGAAAACTACAGGACTCTGCAAAGCCACCTACAAGAATGCTACAGCAATGTAAGATAAATGACATAATAACAGTTTTATAATAATTCAGATTAATAGACATATTTTGAAGAAAATAAGCCCACACAAAAGTTTAAACACTACTTCCTGTTGAGCATATTTGGCAAACACACTTCCTGTTTCAGAGTTTTTCTCAGAGTTTAATCGCTGAGTGAAAACTGTTCAGCTGAAGCACTCATCCGGTGAGAAAATGGCTTCTCCTTCCTTAGTTTAATCCTTGAGCTCTGTGATCCTGAACAGTGTAAATATCATAAAAATCCAGAAGAGGCTACTAAAACAGATAAGATGCAGAACAAAGGAAGAGAGGCAACGCCATCACTAAGCAGCAAATTATAAACAGATGTTCACACTATGAGACTAGCAGTATGGAGGGAAATTTAAAAGGAATTATCAAAAAATAGTGCAAGAAAATAAACGTTACTAAGGCAATTAAGCTGAAGAGTTTGACTTGAAAGCCTAGAAACAAAAGTCTAAGCTTTGTGATATTATTATGCCAATAACTTAACAGCCTATCTGACAAACTGAAATTGAGTTTGTATACACATGGTCGTGATACCGTGTTTAATGTCAAAAATGCACCTACTGGGCGTTGCCAAGTATCTTGACACAAAGCATCACATATAATACGATGTCCATTAGTGTAGTTCTACCCGGCACTATCTCATCTACACTAGCCAAAGAGCAGTAGACTGCTTTCAAATGGTGCACATTGGAAGCCAGAATTCAATTATATGGAAGAAGATGGGGATTAACAAACCACAAGGGCATTAGTGCCAGTCAGGCCCAGGCACACAGTTCAGACTTAGCTATTACAGCTCTCTTCATTCATCGCTATAGCACCATTACATACAAGTACTTTTAACCTCCCAGACCACCCAGCTTTAAGTGGCAGACAGACAAATAGATCCTCTGACATTTTTTCCCTTGAAATCAAAGTCAGGTTTCAACAATTTGGGACAAACAATTTCAGGTTCTCAGACCGTACATGGGGAGGACAAAGGCAAAAGCACATAACCGGATCAGTCAGACAGAAATCCAGTGTACTCTAACAAGATTATAGTGACGCAGTTCAGGGTGCTAATTAATGCTGCCATGGCCAACCAATCCAAAGGAGACAGGCTTCTATTACAAAAGCTTGCAGTGTGCTTCTACTAGGCTTCAGGCTCACTGACTTGGTACACATTAACATTTGTGGTGACAATACATAGTGTCACTGTTTTCATATTACATATTCCACAGTATTACTGGACACAAACCAAATCTACTACTGGAATAAGAACATACGTGAATTAATCTTGTATTCACAAGTCAGAACACTGTTGAATACGTGACACACGAGTTAACAACCGCTCACACCTGTTGCTGTTGATGGCTCAGCAGCAGTGACGGGAAATATTATTGCCTGCGTGCTATTGGCCTCGAACAGAAGCTGTTCAACACATTTTGCATTTAAGAACAGGAAACGCTGTCAGTCAAGGTTTTACGCGTGCGTCTTGGAGTAGTAGAAGGAACGATACTACAATAGGATTGGTTTCTAAACATGTCGGAATATATTGCTGTAATAACAACTGTATACACAATATTTTAGTCCGTGATTTAATTTGACCACAGCAAATGGGGAAACCCACATTGTAAACAAGGCCAGAGTCGATGGAGCATTAACTTCAGGCTACGTGCCGACATTTTACACAGTTGTACTCAAGAATTAACAACTTAAAAGATGTGTCTTTATATCAAATTTAAACAATTATAACATCTGGCACACAAAGAATATCAAAAATAAATACTTTGTAGCCGTACTAGTCAAATACGAACATTGCTACAGGCAGTTTCACTCACCTATCCCGTCTTCCGACTTCAGCACCATGCTGCCTGCGTCTCGTGCTCCGATTAGCGAGAGTTTCAATAAAGTAGGTTTTAACCAAAGAACGAGACCTAATGGGTACCAATGAACCGAAACCTGATCTAAAGAATTACTTTAAATAACTTTCTTGTTGTCGAGTTAACAAGTGTCTAGAGAAAAGATTTCTCGGTAAACGAAGGGTGGCGGTGTCGACAGCCCTTGGGAGTGGTTAGAAAGACTTTTCTCAGCCAATCTACCTTCTCCACCATCAAGACAGCGGCAGTGAAATAATATGCATCCACAAGCAGCTTTCAGAATAAAAGCTCCACATTGTGTCGTACAAATAAAATCAATTTACAATTTCACTTTAAAATACATGATGCAATAGCCGTCTCTAATAGCTCTTCTCAGGAAAGCCAAGCTAAGAGAGCTTTAGGAAATAATATGAAATTAATAATAATATGAATATCTAGCTATCGAAATCACATATTAATACAGTATTATTATTTAATTATCAAAACACTTTTTAATTTGATTTTTGATTTATATATATATATATATATATATATATATATATATATATAATATATATATATATATATATATATATATATATATATATATATATATATATATATATATATAGATATATATATATATATATATATATGAAATCATCATCTATCTAATCATAATAATTCTTACTCTAGGCTTTTGTCAACTCAGGTAAACTTTGCCCTAGAAAAATTTAATGGCAACATGCACAGGCCTAATGGCAACATGTGGGCTATTTTGAATTGTACACACTTCCTTTTTATGTTTATCCTTCAGTACCTTGACGAAAGACGACAGACAGCGCAACAAATGGCTCAGATGACGCATTTGCTGCTAAGATTTTACCAAACCCGTAGAAGAGGGGGCAGGGAGCGTGACACATGGGTTAAAGCCTAGCTCATTAAATTGCTGACATTGTGCATTTTGTTAGTCACAACAATGTTCTAGCGCAAAGGCTATAAGGCCTATAGTAGCGAATATTATTTTATTATTGATATGTATTCATATAACTACAGTAAGGCTATATGAATATGTTTCAAAGTTGATTTGTCTAATTCACTGGGAATTAGACGTGCACGTCAGCTGTCTAGAAAAAGCTGAACTTGTCTCTACCTGTAAACATCGTGCACCGACAGAAGGAATGTAAGAGCCAGCGAAAAGTTAAGATGGTCATGTCTCATGTTTTTGTTTTGTTTTAGTTTTTTTCAGTAAAATTGTCAAATCAAAAGTTTCTTTGATAATAAAGCATCCCATTTTGCATGGCTGTAACATTCAGTGTGACTTTTGAATGCCCTGGTTGTGCTGCTCTCTCTTACCACATGTTTCTAGTCTGGGCAGCCTTGAGCAGCACTTTAACAGCACAATCAGACTGTAGATAGAGGCTTTGGTTGTGTTATTTGTGCACCAATTTGCACATCATTTTAAACTTTTACTTTGACACTGTCTTCAGCTTTGCTTTCAGCTCACATGGTTTGATTCTTGCTCACTACATCCGTCATGCGTCCTATGAACAGATGTACTTGAGTTTGTCATCAGTACTTTTAGTTCTGCTTGAATTCTTGGAAGTAACATTGATAAACATTGTTCTTGTCCTGTTCTTTCTTTTGTCTTTTCTATTGTTGCCTCTATGGCTTCCTTACAACACACAGAGCCTGTTTCTTCAGCACTAACCACATCACACCATAACAGCTATAAATGTACCCCCAACTCCCAACAGTAGTTTATTTAGGATTAATGCCATGTTTTTGGAACAAACACATACCTTTCGTGTATTGTGAAATATAGTATTGTAGTCTGTTACACTCTAATACTGATGGGACCTAATAACTTTAAAACAGGGTCTAATTGTTTTATGAGTCAAAAACAACTGATTTCAATCTATCCAGTTCTGCACAGCCAATATTCAATAAATTACTCAAAAAGCACAGTTTTTAGCAGAATTTAAATTGTTGTATAATTTGCAGACCCATGCTGTAAATATATATCGGCAGTGCTAGTTCATATTGGTCACACCGACTAACACCTTTCATTGCCTTATAAAATATTATCCAAAGGGAACTAAACCAACCCTGTACTTAAGGACCAAATAATTATGAAATATGATCTATGAAAGAAGTAGTCAGTACCAGCACTATGCAGGCCTAAACTGAAAACAAACAAGAGTAATCTCAAGTTCATAACCAGAACTAATAACAGACATTTTCCTCACCTATTTTTAAGCAACAACCACACAAGGTACTATTACGATTACTTCAGTGCATTCTTCTGCATTAAATCAGAGTGGAGGTTGTTTCTCCATTAGTCACTTGAGGAATGGTTTGAAAAGCACAGCGTTTATTCGACAGATGCAGTCACAGGTAATGGCTCCTTTAGGTGCTTCTATCCTATAATTTTCTGAGAGATGGATATGGAGAGCATACCTGAATGATTAATTACTGAGATGAGTCATGTTATATAAGTTTATTATAACTCCCACATGTCTGGAAATGTGTTATAATCGCATAAGCAAGATCTAAATGTTTGTTTTGGGTTTTATTTTTAATCTATTTATTTAGGTTTTGCATGTGCAAATCCTTTCAAAATCAGCTCTAAACAAGACTATATTTCTATTGATTACACCTCAGCAGAGTTACACATTGTTATCATTATCACACAATTCATTCTAAATAGTAAACTAGGCAGAAAACAGCCTATAGCCTAAATACAACTCAAAAATAGAATGCTTAAAATAGTTTTTCATAACTTCTCTTTTAGTGCAAATTTAATATTAATTCTTAAACGCAGTGATTTAAAATTATTCCATTGATTCCAGACATTACATGATCACACATTTACACACAAACATTTTTAGGCAAGGTGAACTAACTGTCTTGCCCACTGAGACAATCTGTGGGGTTAGGGGATTTGAATTTCGGACCATGGATATTCACTTACTTCTTACTTCCCTTACTAAGCCTCTGTCACCCCCTGCTGGTTTTGTACAATATACACCAGTTAACATAATTTTTCTCCCCTGCAAGTAAGAATTGTATTGCCTTCACATGCATTGACTCTATAAAATGTTTCTTGTTGCATAAAACTGAGTTAAACACTATATGCTATAATTTGTGCTGCAGACAGGAAGCCAGTAGCAGAATATAAGCAGTTCCTGACAGGTGCAGCAGGTGAGCTCCTGTCCGTCCAGGACATCATCACTGCTCCTCAGGCACTTTGCACTTCACGTCTGCACTTCTCATAAAACCTACAGAACACAGGCAGGTTTACTTTAAGTCTACCTTTTTGATTTACTGTAATAACCATAAATAAGCATCACTTTCTCAGATCAGAGAATGCTGATTTCTTTAACTGATTTAATTTCATAATGTTGGACATTCCTCTGGATGCAAACCGTTACAGTAATGTTTTTATTTTCTATGTTTCCATGTTATAACGTTTCCTCATCACAAACATCTGGAGTTGTGTTTTGTTTCATTCACACATGCTTAACACACAAACCCTGCATATTTAGGCTGAGTTCTTCTCACAAACAGAAAACACTCTTTTTCCACTCTGTAGAAATACAGGAAGAGCTCCACTGTGTTTTTAAATTCCACACACCTACACTAGAATCTTTTGGATGATTTCAGCCCTAGAACTGCCTATCTCTACTGAGCAAAATCTGTTACCTGCCGCTTCATGACATCATGAGGTGAAACAGAACATTTTGAGCTTTTGAGATGCAGGTAGCCAAAGATTCAGGATTGCTTATACATGTGTGAATGAAACAAAACCTAACTCTGGGCATGTTTTTGATAAGGTAACAACATTCTAACATGGCTTAAAGCTCATAAGAGTAAATTTTGTATAATATAGGACTTTTAAATCTCCTTATGATGGAATGGCTATGTGGTTTAAAATCATAGGCAGACATTCTAGGTATATGGCGTTTGAAAAAAAACAAAGTAAAAAACGTGAATGCTTGTGTAATTTTGGTAGCTACATTGTGACAGTTTTCAATACTCATGAACAGCTGAAAGCTATACAAAACAGAATTAAAGAATACTTATTTCCTGCAGTATTGCCAAAGCCTCTTCATGGCTGTTTATCAGGATAAAATTCAGCCCTCAAAGCTCTTCCCTGGCTTACACAGCTGCAAGCTCAAATCCTCCTCATTTACATTCCCACACAGCTCACTTTGAAGGCGCTCACTGGCAAACGCAGCCTGGTTCAGCATCCAAATCACTCATAAACACCGCACTAACATGAATCACATACACATTACTGCTATTGTTCAGTTCATGCAAGCAGAAAAGATACAGTAAGCTTTGTCATAATAATATATAGAAACTCATATTTCTATAGCAAGTCTTGCAAGAATGTACATTGTTGAGCAGCATCCTCACATAGAAACCTATTTGATAAGGCTGTAACAAATTATTATAGTTTTTTTCATTAGTTGACTAGTCAATCAGTAATTTCAATGTACATTTTTAACTGCATTAGAGTTGAAATATGGTGACTGAAGGCGTCTATATAGAGAATAGTTACGAATACAGTGTATTGTTTATTCTTTATTGGCATTTTGATTTCAGAATGCCACTGTCTTTGTTATAGAAGGTTTTTTGCTATGTGCATTAGAGTCCAGACAATGATTATCAGACAATTAATGATGATTATCAAAATACACAATTATTGCAGCTTCTGCATTTGTTGTGTTTTAACTTCACTCAGGCTTACACATTATGTTATCATATCTTTATTAGTATAGACAGATGTATCACTATAGAACATAAATATATAATAAAGTATACCTTAACCTTAACACAGTACAATACAGCACAATATTGATTTTAACTTTACAGATCAGACAGTCTGTTATTGGCTGCAACTTCCCTGTAGAATTTTGCTACTGTGAATTGCTATGACAGCTTTAATCCAATCTATCTCTTTAGATCTTTATAGCTAGTTTAGAAAAGATATGTGATGCTATGTTTTGGATGTTTTATTGTCCATGCAAGCATCTAAACCAGTGGTCCCCAGCCTTTTTTCTTATAATATAATAATATTGCAGTATATTTACATCATAGATGGTGAGAATGAAACTTCATTTAAATATATATACTATTTTCCTGTTGGGCCCAGAACCAGAAGGACCGGTGGTTTGAGACCCCTGCTCTAAACACTTTCACAGTCTGCTTTGAGACTAAACAGTGT